TAGAATTTTGAAATTAGATCTTCTACTTATTTTATTAAAAAATACCGACTACTTTTGAAGTTATGGTCTCTAGAAAATGATTACCAAAAAATACTCAAGTATTCGCAAATGTGAACGTTTGTATATTTTTGCCAATATCTCGGGTATTTGAAAAGGTACAACCAAAATTATCAACATAAAATATTGAGATCAGCTCTTCAACTTTTAAAATCAAGTTATTTTATTAAAAAATACCGACTACTTTTGAAGTTATGGAGCCTTGAAAATGATTACCAAAAAATACTCAAGTATTCCTAAATGTGAACGTTTGTATATTTTTGCCAATATCTCGGGTATTTGAAAAGGTACAACCAAAATTATCAACATAAAATATTGAGATCAGCTCCTCTACTTTCATAATCAAGTTATTTTATTAAATAATACCGACTACTTTTGAAGTTATGGACTCCTCAAAACGATTATCGAAGAAAATCTAAAAATTGTCATATGTAAACATGTGTATATTTTTGCCAATATCGACGGTATTTGGAAAGCTACAACAAAAATTATTAAAATACATTTTTGAAATCATTTGAAATTTCTAAATCAAGTTATTTCACTAAAATATGCCGACTACTTTTGAAGTTATTGACCTTTGAAAATGAATACCCAAAAATGATTAAAATACCTAAATGTAAACATGTGTATATTTTTGTCCATATCACTGGTATTTTAAGGGCTACAACGAAGATTATAAATATAAAATTTTGGCCTGACCTTTTACTTTCGAAATCAAGTTATTTCATTAATATATACCGACTACTTTTGAAGTTATGGACACTTCAAAACGGTTACCAAAGAAAATCTAAAAATTGCTATATGTAAACATTGGAATATTTTTGGCGATATCTCCAATATTTCAAAAGCTACAAAAAAATTACGAATATACATTTTTGACAACAGCTGTTCGGCTTTCCAAAATCAAGTTATTTCATTAAAATACACCGTCTACTTTTGAAGTTATGTAACCTTTAATAGCGATTACCAAAAATCTGCAAAATTTTCTTATTTGCAGACGTATGTATATTTTTGGCAATATCTCTAGTATTTGATAAGCTACAACAAAATTGTGGATATTTATTTTTGAGATCAGCTGTTCTACTTGCAAGATCAAGTTAGTTCACTAAAATACACCGACTACTTTTGAAGTTATGGACCCTAGAATACGATTACCAAAAAAACCGTAAAAATTCCGAAATGTAAAAGTATGTAAATTTTGGGCAATATCTCTTGTATTTGATAAGCTACAACAAAATTGTAAATATATATTTATGAGATCAGCTGTTCTATTTTGCAAAATAAAGTTATTTCACGATAAAATACCAACTACTTTTGAAGTTATGTACCCTAGAAAACGATTACCAAAAACCTGACAAATTTTCCCAAATGCAAACGTGTGTATATTTTGGGCTATATCTTCGGAATTTGAATAGATACAACAAAATTATGTATATACATTTTTGATATCAGCTGTTCTACATTCATAATCAATTTATTTCATTAAAATACACCGAGTACTTTTGAAGTTATGAACCCTAGAAAACGATTACCAAGAAAAAGTTGAAAATTCCTATGTGTAAACTTTGCAATATTTTTGGCAATATCTTTGTTATTTGAGAAGATACAACAAAATTTTCAATATAAAATTTTACGATCACGTAATCTACATTCAGAATCAAGTTATTTTATTTTAATACGCCAACTATTTTTGAAGTTATGGACTATTGAAAAGTGATACGGAAAAATTATAACTATTACCATTTTTTGGGTATTTGTGAAATGTTAAAATTTTCCTTAGTATTTGTAAGGTTATGTTCAAATTATTATTGCTTGTTTTAGAGTTCAGATTCTAATCCTTCTAATACCATTTATATCATTTCGATACACCAAGTACTTTTGAAGTTATGAGCCTTAAAAAATTAGGTACGAGAAAAATGTAAAACATTTACTATTTTGGGTATTTGTTATCTTTGGATTGCAACTCTGCTATTTGGCCTGTAATGTCAATATTATTATTGATTATTTTAAAGATCACATTTTCTACTTTCCAAATCAAGTTATTTCCTGAAGATATAGCGACTTTTTCAGAAGTTAGGGGCCTTTGAAAAAAACTTACGGAAAAGTTATTGACTTTTTAACATTTTGGGTATTTCAGAACTTTTGATGGCAACCCTGGTATTTGGTAAGCTAATATTAAAATATTTGCCATATTTTAAAGATAAGAGGTCCTTCTTCTATAATCAGGATATTTCATGACCATACCCCATACTATAACTAATGTTACGGTCCGCTGTTTTCATGAAAATATCCAGAAATTTTGAAAAAATACAGATGCTGACACAACTTGGCCATTCGATTTCAATTGCAGGAGGTCTGTTAGGGAGTAATAAAAAAATAGCCGCGCGAGACACTCCTTATCATTGATAACACGTGTCCTTTAACATAAAAAAACAACAACAACAAAAAAACTTGTTATTGTTCGAATTCAACCCCCTCGTCATGTATGTATGGCACAACATCGAAACACATCTGTGGTCTGTAGATCAGGATAAGAAATAAAATTGATTACATAACCTAAAAATTTAACGATCATATTGGACACGAGGGTGAATTCACACACACACACATACATTGGTATATATTTTATTTGGAACGTGATAAAAAAGCAAGAGAAAAAATTTAAATTTTATTTTTTTTTAAATTTTCATTTTTAAATATTTGCATTCGGTAATTTTTAAGGGTCCATAACTCGGGAACTAGATGACGTATTAAAATGAAATACCTCGTTTCTAAAAGAGGGAATACTAAGCTTTAAAATAATAATAAATATTTTGGACACAACTGGCCAATTACCAGAGTTGCCATCTATAGTTTACAAATACCCAAAATGTTAGACAATCAATAATTTTTTTTTTTTTTGGTAAAGATTTTCAAGGCCCATATCTTTTGAACTATGTGGTGTATTGCAATCAAATAAATTGATTCCTAAAGAAGGATATCCTGTCTTCAAAATAAAGGAAAATAATTTGAAACTAGTTTACATAATACCAGAGATATCGCCAAAAGTTCAAAAATACCCAAAATGTTAAACATTCCAAAATTTCATCGTAACAATATTCAAGGCCTCATAACTCCGGAATTAGTAGAAATATCGAAATAAAATAAATTTGTTTCTTGAAGAAGCATGTCTCATCTTCAAAATAATTTCTTTCATATTTCATCCTACCTAAACTAATTTCAGAGTTATCGCCAAAATATCACAAATGCCCAAAATGTGAAACATTCCAAATTTTTAACGTAACAATTTTCAAGGACCCATAACTTCGGAAGTAGACGGTATATAGATGTAAAATCAATTGATTCTAAAAGAAGAAAGTCTCATCTTCAAAATGATATATTAAATTACATCCTACCTAACCCTAATATCAGAAATATCGCCAAAATATCACAAATACCCAAAATGTTAAACGTTTAAAATTTTTAACGTAACAATTTTCAAGGTCTCATAACTCCGAAACTATACGGTATATGGAAATGAAACAAATTGTTTCTAGAAGAAGAACATCTCATATTTTCAATATTGTACCTGTATAATTTTATTTTACCTTATCTAATATAAGAAATATGGCCAAAAGTTCAGAAATACCCAAAATACTAAATATTCAATATTTTTACCTACAACATGTTCAAAGGTCAATAAATTGATACTCAGAAGGGATATTTTTGTAAAATAACATAATTTCGAAAGTAGAACAGCTGATCTTTACGTTTATATTAATAATTTTTGTTGTAGCTATTCAAAAACCACAGATATCGCCAAAAATACCCAATGTTTACATTGCAGGATTTCAAGTATTTTTTGGGTAATCATTTTCAAAGCCCCATAAGTTCGGAAGAAGTTGTTATATTATAATGAAATAGGTCGATTTAGAACAGTAGAATATATGACCACAAAATTTACATTAATAGTTTTTCCTGTAGCTTTTCAAATGTTAGAGATATAGCCATAAAAATATACATGTGTTTACAATTAGCAGTTTGTAGCATTTCTTGGTAATCGTATACGAAGGCTTATAATTTCGCAAGTAGTCGGTATATTCGAATGAAATAAATTTATTTAAAAAATAGAATAACTGAGCTCAATTTTTGTAGTTAATTATTTTGTTGTACCCATTAAGATATCAAAGATATCGTTAGAAATATACCCCAGATTACGTTTGGGAGTTTAAAAGATTTTTTGGTAATCGTATTCGAAGGCTCATAACTTTTAAAGTAGTTGATGTATTATAATGAAATAACTACATTTTGAAAGCAGAACAGCTGATCTTAATATATGTAATTCTGTCTATATCTATAACTAATCAAATACAAAAGATATGCTCAAAATTATACCATAGTTTACGTTTGGGAGTTTTAGGTATATTTTTGGTAATCGTTTTCCAGGGGCCCATAACTTCGAAAGTAGTTAGTGTATTAGAATGAAATAAATTGATTTTGAAAGTGAAACAGCTGATCTTAATATTCCTAACATATAGTTTTATGGTAGATATTCAAATACCAAAGATATCGCTAAAAATATACCCACGCTAGCGTTTGGGATTTTTAAGGATTTTTTAGGTAATCGTTTTCGAAGGTCCATAACTTCGTAAGTAGTTGGTGTATTATAATGAAATAAATTTATTTTGAAAGCAGAACAGCTGATCTTAATATACGTAATTTTTGATATTACTATAACTATTCAAATACCAAAGATATCGGTAAAAATATACCCACATTGACGTTTGGGAGTGTTAGGTATATTTTTGGTAATCGTTTTCCAAGGCCCATAACTTCGCAAGTAGTTGGTGTATTGGAATGAAATAAATTGATTTTGAAAGTAAAACAGCTAATCTTAGTATTCCTAATTAATAGTTTTGTTATAGCTATTCAAATACCAAAGATATCGCTAAAAATATACCCACATTGACGTTTGGGAGTTTTAAGCATATTTTTGGTAATCGTTTTCGAAAGCCCATAACTTCAAAAGTAGTCGGTATATTCGAATGAAATAAATTGATTTTGAAAGCAGAATACCTAATCTTAACATATTTAATTAATAATTTTGTTCTGGCTATTTGAAATACTAAAGATATCGCTAAAAATATAGCCACGTTGTCCTTTGGGAGTTGTAAGGCTATCTTATGTACTAGTTTTAGAAGACCGATAACTTCGAAAGTAGTTGGTGTATTCGAATGAAATAACTTGATTTTGAAAGTCAAATAACTGATCTTAAAATATTCAGTCAATACTTTCGTTGTAGCTATTCAAATACCAACAAAATATTCTGAAAATTATACAAACATTTACATGTAGACATTTTTAGATGTTTTCGGTAATCGTTTTCGAAGACCCATAAATTTGGAGGTACTTCGTGTATTATTATGAAATAACTTGATTTTGAAAGTCTCGAACAGCTGATTTTAAAGTGAAAATAAATATTTTCTGTGTAGCCTTTCAAATGTCATAGACTTAGGTGAAAATATACAAGTACATATTTACAATTAGTCGTTTAAGGCAATTTTTCCGGTAATGATTTTCAATGGTCCATAACTTTAAAAGTACTTGGTATATTTTTATGAGGCCAACATCGCGACAAGTAGTTGGTGTCATAGAGTAAAATAAATAGGTTATTAAGAAATAAAAATCACATAAATAAAACATTCTTTGATCTATATTTCCCTTTTTCTACATAACCTTAAAAATAATAATGTAATAAAATATCATCTGTAAATTTCTACATAACCTCAAAAATTAAAAAAAAACATTGTCTGTAAAAAAATAATTAAAATATCTAGTGATGTGTTATTATATTTAGTATACTTTATTAAAAAAAATGTAAATTATTGTTTAAAAAAAGAAAATTATTTTTGTTTTTCAACATAACCTAAAAAATAAAAAAAGTTCAATAAAACGTCTTTGATAAAATAGTTCGCTACAATATATTAATTTTTTTATAATTCTGTAATATTTTTTGAACCTATTGTATGTAATTTATGTATATCTTTCATTAACATATATTATTTGTTTTCTTAATAACCTCAATTTTGTAAAGGAAAATTTTTCTTTCCAACATAACCTCAAAAATTAAAAATGCAAAATATATTTATTAAATTATATAGCGATTAATAAATTGATTACATTTTTTTCAAAAATATTTTATTTATACCAGTTTTTATTTTCTTCAAAAAATTTTTTTTATGAAATTAATTTTTTGAACATAACCTAAAAAAATGAAATTTTTAGGTTATTATGGTTTTAAATTTGACTAACTTTTGTTTAATCCTAGGAGTCGTTTTTTTATTGTTACATAACCCAAAATCAATTTGAATAATATCCCTCCCCTACAAAAAAGACAACAACAAATTTTGGCTACAGACACCGTTATTTAGAATTTCTTTTATCCTTTATTTTATCAACTCCTTTGTATGCATCACTTACTCCATTTTTTCATTGTTGTTGTTTTTCCTATTATTCTAAATGCATTTTGCTTGTTCTTTTCTTTTTTTATTATTTTTTGTTGTTGTTCCTTTTTCTTTCCAGCTTGCGTGCCGATCAGTTGGTTTACATTGGTCTAAGGGACATTGACCCTTATGAAGCCTACATTCTAAATAAATTGGGTATACGAGCATATGCCATGGATGTAAGTATGCGTGTATAAACATGTCTGAGTGTGTGTGTGTGTAAAAAAAGGTCCTTAAGGCCAATGGTAGGATGTATGGCTTGGCTGGCTGGCTTACGGTTGTAAAGATCAAAATTATACCTTTCAATTTGATTCAGGTTTTTGCTTGGGCTGTAGCATTTTTAGGTTTCAACAATTAAAGGACATAAAGGACACGCTTGTGTTCACACACAAACACACACACACTCTCACGTACGTGATCAAAACTATAAAACCACCCCTAATGATGACGACAACAACGACGGCTGACGGCTACTTAGGGCTGTTGATGTTTGGTTTTAATGATCCTTTGTGATCGTTACAACATCTGTAACTTTTCGGCAGTCAGCCAGCAAGCCAGCCAGTAACCTAGTCTGAAATAAACCCCTCTACATATGTCCTGTTTTTTTCTCCCTCCCAATAACACAGTGTAGGGGAGTTTATTTTGAATTCAAAATCTAAGGGTGGATTTCAGTCGCCCAACAACTTGGCGTGGCATTTGTTTGGTTTCTAGTATTGGTCCCGTTTTATTCTGCCTCGTCCTTTATCTAGTGGGATAGGACATGGTTCATTATCCAATAGAAGCTGCACACACGCACGTGCTCTCAAACATAAGAGTCTGTCTGTATGTGTGCATGTGTTCAATTCTTTTGTTTTATTTTTTTAATTCAGTTTTTTTCGCATAAATTACGATCAATATTTTGTTACTGTCACATTAAAAATGCAATGTTGAAAAATTAGTATGACAGGATTAAAAAAGGACAACAACAACAAAGTAAGCAGTACTCCGTTTTTTGTTATGCTTGCAAATTGAAAAAACGAAAATGTAAACTTTTCATCATTAAAAGAAAGTGGGGAGAAAAAATACGGTAACGGAAGTAATCAATTCTTATCAGGCAAAGGGAATCATGTACAGATCCTAAGGCCTCTAGAGGGAATTTTTCGCAAGGCAAAGGGAAAATATCAGAATCTAAAAAAGATTAAAAAATAAATAAAATAAAATAACTACTTTAACCGAATAAAATCAAACGTGTACCACACAATCCTAGACTCAGTTTGATACCCTAAGCTAAATTTCGTGTCAATCGCACCGACATAGATCCTCTGGTGCACCATTTACCTAAAATCGGACGAACTTTTCTATGAGAGCTATATCAAAATCTGAATCGATTATAATCAAACTTGACATACACAATTCTAGTCCTGTATTGGTACCCTCGGCAGAATTTCGTATCAATCGCACCGACATAGATCCTCTGGTGCACCATTTACCTAAAATCCAACGAACTTTTATATGGCAGCTATATGAAAATCTGAAACGATTAAAATCAAACTTGGTATAAAAAATTCTAGTCCTGAATTGGTACCCTCTGCAAAATTTCGTGTCAATCGTCCGGACATAGTGCCATTGGTGCAACATTTAACTAAAATCCGACGAAAATTTATATGGGAGGTATATCAAAATCTGCACCGATTACAATCAAACATGTCATACACAATTCTAGTCGTGACTTGGTACCCCATGCCAAATTTCGCGTCAATCGGACGGATATAGCGACTTTGGTGCACCATTTACCTGAAATCGGACGGATTTTTATATGGGAGCTATGTCAAAATCTGAACCGATTAAAATCAAACTTGGCATACACAATTCTAACCGATTAAAAAAAAGTAGAACAGCTGATCTTAATATACGTGATTTATATTTATTATTTTTATAATATATATTTATATTTAATATATATTTTTCATTTTATTTTCAACATAACCTAAAAAATAAAAATTTTAATAAAACGTTTTCTATAAAATAGTTTGCTTAAATATGCCAAATTTCGCTTCAATCGGACGGACATAGCGACTTTGGTGCATCATTTACCTGAAATCGGACGGATTTTTATATGGGAGCTATGTCAAAATCTGAACCGATTAAAATCAAACTTGGCATACACAATTCTAACCGATTAAAATCAGACTTGACATACACAATTCTAGTCCTGACTTGGTACTCTGTGCAAAATTTCATGTCAAACGGACAGACGTAGTGACTTTAATAGACCATTTAGCGGAAATCGGACGAAAATTTATATTGCAGCTGTATGAAAATATGAACCGATTAAAATCAAACTCGGCATACACAAATCTAGTCCTGAGTTGGTACCCTCTGCAAAATTTCACATCAATTCGATTGACATAGTGACATCAGTGCAAGAATTACCTAAAATCGGAATTTTTATATGGGAGAGGTATCAAAAGGCGAACCAATTTAAATAGAACTAAGTATACACAATTCTAATCATAAATTGGTACCCTATGCAAAATTTTACGTCAATCGGACAAACATAAGGACTTTGATAGCATTTATTACTTCAAATCGGATAACAATATTTGTTGGGCCTCTATCTAAATCTCGACCAATTTTCAACAATTTTAATAAAATTCATCCTCGGTCGCAGAAGAAAACGAGCTCTACCAAATTTCATTTCAATAAGATGATAAAAGTGTGCCCTGCTCAAAAGCAACATAACCTCACAAAATTCCTGCTCAAAAGCAACATAACCTCACAAATTCAAAAAAATATGTGTGCTTAAAAAAATTATCCCACGGCATAATTTTATTAAATCCCAATGAATTTGTATTCAATTAAAACATTTTCAGTTTCCATTTTATATTTTTTATTGAGGTTATGTTAGAAAATTAATTTCTAGATGTTTTCTTTAAATTCTATACTATTGTTTCAAATTTCTCCTATTATTATTATTATTAAGGAATTTACTCCTTTCATAATTCAATTAAAATATTCTAAAATACATTATTTGGAAATTTTAATTAATTTTTTTCTCGATCTAACCTTTAAAAATTGCAGTATTTTAAAGTTAAAATTTTTTCGACATTACCTCACTAATTCACAAATTAAATTTATGAGGTTATGTCGAAATAAAAAATTAAGATAAAAAAGCTTTCAATATGAAGTTATTATTCCAAAAAAGAATGTTAATGTAAATTTAATCAATCCCTTTGCTAATTTCTATATACTTTTTATTGTTGAGGTTATGTTAAAAAATTTTTTTTATGTAGCCTCCAGGAAGGTATATTATTTATTCTGTTAATGATATTTTATAATGCTAATACTTCCATATTATCTTTCTTCTCTTCCAGTCCATTGATAAATATGGCATCTCGAAAATTATGGAAATGACTCTGGACTCATTGGATGTTAAGAATAAAATACACATTAGTTTCGACATCGATGCTTTGGATAGTAGAATTGCGCCCAGTACAGGGACAGCTGTTTATGGTGGTCTCTCGTTGCGTGAAGGCATATATATTGTTGAAACGTTGAGTGAAACAAAACGGGTACAAGGTTTCGATTTGGTTGAGGTAAATCCTAGCCTGGGAACACCGACTGATGTTGCTACCACACTAACGGCTTCAATGGAAATTCTAAAAACCGCTTGTGGGGGTTATCGTCGTTGTGGCACATATCATGATATCGATGAGAATTTATTGAAAAACGGAGGAGATTTTAAATAAAGTGTGAAGAAGAAAAAAAAAACAATTTTGAATGCGTTTTAATGGATTTTTAAAATAGTCATTTATTGCAAATTATGCTTAAAAAAACTACCAGAGATTCTTTGGAATGCTTAAGCTAAAACTATTTGCTAATATTATTGTTCATTTGTCTTGTTAATGGCCGGAATAATAGCCTCTACTTTTGTGGACATTATATTGGCATTCGCTATCAAATCATTGCTAACCACCAATTGTGGTGGCTCAGTAGCGGTGATATCCTTAAAGAGATGAGGTTTTGCCAGCGGTGTATTCTCCGGGGATTCTTTCAGTCTTATGTGCAGTAGCTGGGGTGCAAATATGGAGAGTAATTTCTTTTGCATAGAAACTAAAATGAAATTTAAAATTCCTGGAAAATTAAAAAATGGAAAGAAAATTATTTATTTGTTTTATTTAAATTGTAAAGAGAACTACTTACCGGATATAACAATAATACCCGATATAATCGAACATAATCTTATGACAAAATTAATAAGATTTTCACGATCGGTGCGCACAATAATTTTCAAGGCAGACCAATCATATTTGAAATAAATGCCCGGAGAGCCATAGGAACTGCCATCGCCATCTGTAAAAAATACAATTTTATTTTTATTATCTCCAATGATTTTGAACCCTAAAAACACCTACCCAAAACCCTTATATTCTCCGTTACGGAATACTGAAAAGTATTAATTGTGCTAAATGCCGTGTGTATTTCAGTGGGTACAATATTAAGGAAATACTGCACCCTTGTCGATTCATCGGCCACAAACGTCTCATCACCTTCCAAGGGCTGTATCAGCCGCTTCGAATATTGTCCGAAACTTAAACGATTAATGCGGTGGGTAAAATTCGATGGCAGACGACGAAAACCGATCATTAAATGATCACCAATCATATCGACAACGGGTAAAGCTCCGCCCACCATATGCAGTACACCAGCTACCTTGTGTATACCCAAGGTACCATGTAAACGACAGGCATCATATTTCTCCTCATGGGCCACATGTCCATGTTGCTCCTTTTCGGGTTGGCTAACTTCATGCGATTTGATGACATCTTTAAATAACACATCAGCCACGGAATGGTATTGTTCACGTAGGAAATGATTTAAATGCTGTTGCCGCTCAAATTCTTCTCGCTCTTCGACGCCCAATTTCCACCATACATCTTGCCGTTGTAAGGTGCCATAGGCAAAAACATCTTGTTGGGTTTCATCCATTAAATCGACACCCGATAAGGAACCACATGGCATGGCCACCGTTATGTCAACATGCATTTGAACTTTTTCTGTTTCCGTGTCGGGTACGAATTCATATTTCAATTTGGCATCCTGATAGTATTGGATTTCTTTGTAGATCAAATAGATAATCAGCAGGCGACTGATAAGCGAAACTGAAAAGAGGGCGGAAAAGATTAGAAATTGATTGGAAAGAATAAAATATACTTGTAGCCCAAGTGTTGTTGCATATTTTTGTATCGCTCTTGGATCCCAAGAGGTCAAATCTCCACCTACATCAATAATGAACGCACATTTCCCTGGGGAATACACATTTCTACCCCTTTATTATTGTATTCTAATATTTGACTTACGTGTTCCACCAATCTCCGTTGTCTCTGTGTATTTTTCTGGAACCTGCTTGAAGGCATCCAGATTTTTGGCAATCTCTATGAGATTACTCTTATTGCCACGATACCTCAATGTAGCCGACATTCCGGATTCTATGAAATGGAAACTGGTCACATTTAAATAAAAAAACTGGAAAATAAAGGTCCAAAATTAATCAGAGAACCATAAAGAGAAGATAAATACTCACCGGCCCTTAAATTATTTAATATTATTTATAAAATCTATTATTTTGGTCGGTATTCTTATCTTAGCCGGATTGAACTAGTTCAATTGAACTATTCACTAAATGGAACCATGCCGATTGTTGATTGTTTACGTGTAAATTCAAGGTTATCTCCCAAAGCCACCATAGAATAAGTGACGCCGTAAAAAACAGAAGATAATGTGAGCGAGAGAGTTGGCGATGAATATGAGGAATCAAAACAAACAATGAAATAACTTTATTTTGAAAATTGTAGGGTTCTGCTTGGTTGAAAACTACAACCACCACCGGCCATAACAGGGTTGTGTAGATCGACTTTTGTCTGTGTGGTTATTTTAGTAATGTGCACCCAGCACAACATCATAAAATAAAAATTTATTTTAAATATAAATAAAAAATTATTTTAATGGAAATTTTAATACAATTTTTTCCAATATGGCGTGTCTCTGTGAAAAAAGAAAAATGTGGTTTTTGAGTTATTTGTGGTTATTATTTCAAATGTCAAAGAAGAAAAGCTTCGGAAGTGGCAGCTAATGAAATACAGGGTAATTCAAATATTATTTTAATGTTAGAAAACCGCTTACAAGATATTCGGAATTTTCCTATAAGAGGTTTTATTGTGGTATTCAGAAATAATAGATATTGTTTTCGTATTAATGTGAAATTTGCCAAGTAGATATGGCAAATTTCACAGACTTTAAATATGACAGCTACTGAAATACAGGGTAATTCATATATATTTTTAGAAACCCGTACTGCAAGAATCTACTAGATTTTTACTAGATAACCATTTTTTTCTTTATGATAGCGAAATAAATTGTAAAAAATAGTAGATTCTTGCAGTACGGGAACAGACCAAATATGTAGTTTTCATGAAGTCCATAAGCGGTAAATTTCTTAAATATTTTCTCAGGAGGCCTCCTAGTAATAAAATTTTTGAAAATTATATTTTCGTGAAGCCCAATAGGGGTAGATTTTTAAAAAAATATTTTTCACAAAGCTCAATAGGGGTAGATTTTTAAAAAAAATATTTTTTGAGGTCCTACACAAGGCGTAGATGTTTTAAAGAATATTTTTAGGAGGCCCTCTACGTTATGATTTTTGAAAAGGTTTTTGAAAACTATTTTTTCATGAAGCCCAATAGACGTGAAAGGAAGCCTTACAGATCAAGGGAGTCATTATAAGGTAGTCTTTATAGAAGAGTTCCTAAGGTTATCTTGATAGCCGAGCTGAAGGGGGTTTTAGAGACTGAATGGAATCTTTATAGACGAGATGGGAAGGGAGTCTTTATAGACGAGCTGTGAAGGGAGTTTTTATAGACGAGCAGTGAAGGGAGTTTTTATAGACGAGCTGTGAAGGGAGTCTTTATAGGAGAACTGAAGGGATTCTTTATATACGAGCTGAAGGGAGTATTTATAGACGAGCTGAAGGGAGTCTTTAGTCATAGGAGACTTTTGAGAAGATCAGAATGGAGTCTTTATGATTCAGCTGAGTAGATATGAGCTGACGGCGGTATTTTTAAACGATCTCAATTGAATCTTCAGAGCTTTTAGATTCAATTTAATTTTAAAAACTTATTTTCTTAATGCAAAATTAAATTTTATTTTATTTTTTATTATACATTGTAATATAAATTAATACAATTTTCCGAAATAATACTCATATACACATACGAAAAAATTCTTTAACTATTATGTTCAGGTTCAATGGATTCCACAACTTCTTCCACATGCATTGCGGCATCCGTCATGCCATGTTTTTCTTTATAATGTTGATTTTTATGATCTCGCAAGTCCAAATGATATTTAAATGCCTGCGGACATTCGTCACACAAATAGGTTTTCTCACCCAAATGGGTACGTAAATGCTTGACCAAATCACCACTGGCCGCGTAGGCTCGATCACAATAGGTACACATGTGTTTCTTTTCACCGGTATGGGTGACTTTGTGGCGCAATAAATGGCGTTTGAAAACAAAACTGAAAAGAGAAAATATTTGGATTATTTTGTTATTGAAAATAGGTCTTTTTTTCTTACCTCATATTACATTCCTCACATTTAAATGGCCGTTCCCCGGTATGCTTAAAACGGTGGGCCTTTAGGGAATCCCCGCGCGTAAATGAGGAACCACAAGTGTCGCATACAAATGGCTTTTCCTTGGAATGTGTACACATGTGTTTTTGTAAATTAACCTTGACATAGAAACGCATTGGACATTCGGGACATTGGAAATTTTTCTCGCCATGCCGTTGCAAATGTTGACGTAGAATATTTGAGGTTTTAAAGGATTTACCACAATGGGAACAGAGATAGGGGCATTCTCCGGTGTGGGATCTTTCGTGATCTTTTAAGGCAGTGCTGTTGGGGAAACCTAGGGGGAAAATTGAAGATTTTTTGTTATTATGGGACCTATGTGCAGATGTTTCTTTACTTACTCTTATCACACTGTTCACATTTATGCTTCTTATAGCCCTTGTGCATATTTAGATGATCTTTGTAATGAGATTCCACAGGAAAGGCCTGATCGCATAGCTCACATTTATAGGGCAGCACTCCGGGATGTTTGTGATTCATGTGACGTGTCACCGCGGAAAGGGTTTTCAAATTTACACCACATACTTGACATTTGAAATCTCGCTCCGCGTGAATAACCCGATGGGCAGCCAATGCTCGTGTCTGTTGAAATACCATCGAACAATCTGGGCATGGATAGGGTCCACCGGATAAACTTAATGTCACCCCACGATTATGTTTATATGATATGTGGACCTTGAGTAGCTTCGCCGTGGGAAAACGATATTGACAGGTGTCACACACAAACTCATAGTCCTCATTGTGGACTGACATGTGCCGTGTTAAAAGGTTACGTTTCTGGAAAACCTTGTTACAGTGGGGACACACTTTATCGTTGGCTTCGTTACACGAGGAACGTCGTTTTTTGTATCTTCTTGTCTTTTGGTTTTCCTTGGGTTGCTGTTGTTGTTGTTCTTCCTCTTCCTCATTTACACTGTTGTCTGTATCGTTATCATGATCATTTTGAGGGAAAAATTCTTCATCATCGTCGTCCTCATCCTCGCCAACATTATGAAAATCTTCAAAATCCTCTCTGGTACGATTTGCCATTGCCTCAAGTTCCAATTTAATTTCGGCATTCTTTTCCTCCTCACCATTATCAAGCAAATCCATACTGTGGATTTCTTCCTCGCCCTCCTTGTGTGCCGCAACCAATCGCTCCAAGGCATTTTGTACAAACTCATCTTCTGGCTCTAGTTTTAGTGACTCCTTCCCACTCAAATCCAAATGATCTTCCTTGTCACTTGCCGCATCTCCTTGTGCAACCATTATTACATCTTCCAGCTCATCATGGTGCTGTTGTTCCTGAATGAGATTTTGCAATTTCTCGTTGCTGGCAAAACACATCTGCTGGAAATCGTAGGCTATTGTCAATTTTTCCAAACACTCCTCACAGATTTCCACAGGCAAACAGACGTCCAGGTCTTCCACAGGTAATTCGAAATTTGGTATGGTTTTGTGCAGCATCTCCTCTATGGGTAGCTGTTGCTCACCGCCCTGCTCCAATAGCTTGTGCATTGTAGACGATTCCAGTAGACAGGTACGACAAATGCGTCCCAACAGAATTGCAGACATGGCTACTGGAAGTAAATGTACCTATTTTTGGAATTATGGAATGGAATTATAGTGTCCTTATAGAATATTTCCTCCGAAGTTCGAAGGCTACTGAATTCACCGAACTAATTGAAAAACGTTCCACATGCAATCAGTAAAGGAAGAATGTTGAATAAAAAACAATGTTAAAGCAAAATGTTTGAAAATTCCGTATTGTTTACGAATGGGGGTGATGCATAATCTCAAATATCGTCCATTATTTTGTTTAGAATGATCCATAAAAGAATGTCAATCAGCTGACACTTCAAAAAGTAATAGGGATACATAAGTCGATTATTAACTTTCAATAAACAAATATATCATTCACAATAGTTCCACACAAAAAACAGCTGATTTAATAGGGATTTTTTTTAATTGTTTTTGTTTAAAAAAATGTATAAATTACTAATTAATAAAAAAAACTCTTTTGTCAAATATCTGCAATTGGAATGTATCGTTTTTGCGGGACTATTCCTAAAGATCTATAAATAAGGACACTCAGCAAGCGAAAGTCGGTTGTTTTTTCTCAAGTCGAATGTCAAAAATTTGGACTTTATTTATACCTTATTAATAGATCTTGGTCAATTCAAAATAATAGATTTTGACAGCTAACTTGAAGGTAAGCTGATATCCAGCAGATCTCCCTGGTTGCCCTTTTTAATAGACTTTGAGTATCGGTGTACTTTTAGAGGAAGTAATTTTTGATGGACTGACCTATAAGAACCCGAAATTTTAAATTACAGAAAATTTGGTTGGAAAATGTGTCTTTTTGCTGGAAAGATTTTATACCTCATGTGGACAATTAATATCAAATTACAGTCTATTTGGTTGTAAAATGTGTCCATAATCCTAGAAATATCAAAAATTTGAGCTTATGATTATATGGGGACTATACCTAAAAGTGGCCAGATATACTCAATTTGAGTTATTACTTAATCAGAATATAAAATATGAAATTATAGGCAAATCCGTCGATAAATACCTGTCCATACTCCCCGAAATAACAATTTAGGTTATGTTTATATGACGACTATACCTAAATCAGGACCGATACAAATAATTTTTGGTAGAGAGACTATATACCCAATGAGAACCACAAATATCAAAATTTCAGCCAATTCGGTTGTAAAATGGGTCCAAAATCTTCGAAATAAAAAATGTAGAGGTTATGTTTATTTGGGGACTATACCTGAAAGTGGACAGATAAACACAATTTTTGTTGAGAGCATTTACCACTTAATCAGAATCCAAAATATGAAATTACAGCCAAATCCGTTGATAAAACATCAAACATTAAGTCGGGTTTATATGGTGGCTATACCTAATACTTTATACCCTAAATATCAAATTAACGGCCAAATCGGTTGTAAAATATGCCAACAAAAAACTTCCAAATAGAAAATTTTTAGGTTATGTCAAAATGGGGACTATATCTAAAATTGGTTAGGATGTTTTCCTATTTAATCAGAATCCGTAATATGTAATTTCAGCAAATTCAGTTGGAAACTGTGACGTCTATATTAGATCCAAGGTCTATAAATAAGGTCGTCCAAGCAGATCAGCTGCTTCTTAAGTTTGCTGTCAAAATCCATTATTGTGAATTACTTCCATTATAAAAACGTAAACAAAAGCCAAATTTTTGACATTACACTTGAGAGAAAACAGCTGATTTCTCTAGCTGGGTGACCTTATTAAGAGATCTTGGTTAGGTCATTAACAAATATTTTTAAAAAATCCAAGCCATTGTTGTTCCTTGCCATGCCCTATTAATAAGTCATCCAAGGAGAACAGCTGGATATCAGCTGTCTCCCAAAGTTGCTGTCAAAATCCATTATTGTGAATTGCTTTCCATTATGAAAACGTAAACAAAACCCAAATTTTCGCTTGCTGGGTGACCTTATTAATAGATCTTGCAATTGCAGAAACTAATATTTGTTTTTAAATAAAACAAGAACTTCATTAGGTTTTTTTTATTATAAATTTACTATTTTAAAAAAATTGTTTTTTTTATTTTCTGTTGTACAATAAATAAATGTATACATATATATTTGTTTATATAAAAAAACACTACATTATTATTATATATAATAAATTTTTGTCTTTCTTTTAAAAATTAAAATACAGCTAAAGCTTTTCGTTTATCATGTGTGATGATGATTATGTTACTTTTTTTTGTAAATAAAATATTATATGAATATTATATATAAAGTTTTTTTATATAAAAGTAAATTGAGCAAGATTTGTTTTAAGGAAAAATAAAGAAATTAAAAAAATAACAACTCTTTTTTTATAAGGAATGTCATGATAATTGAAATACATAAGTTTTTCTGTTTCTATGTTTACAAAGAGATTCGAGCTGTTCTTTTTCTGAAGTTATTTCTTTTGTTAAAATATTAAAAAATTGCCTTTTTTTAATAATATTAAATGTTGTTATGAAAAAAACATATATTTTACAAAATTATTATTTTTTATATTATTTTGGCTTAATTTTATATATAGATCAGGGGTTTTTATGTGTAAATATTGCAATGTTTTTTTTTTAATTTTCTGTTACATTTTGTTTTTTTTTTATTAATATTTTTTTATTTTCTTAAAAAATAATTTTTATAAATTTATTTTTGTTGTTGTGTTTTGAAAAATAATTGTTATAAATTTATTAAATATTTTCTTGTTGATTTTTGATTCAACATTTGGAGGGGGAAATGCAAATAAAAACAAAATTTGGGTTAAACATTAAGAAATCAATAATTCGTTGCTGAACATAACCTAACTTTTGGGTTAATTTAGATTTGTGCCGTTAGATTTTAGGTAGAATTTCGGCGGTATATGTTTTTGTAAAGCTCGAATGTTCTTTGTGTGATATTTTATAATTAAATTGATATTTAAAAAAATCAAATTAAATAATTCACAATAACCTAATTGAAACAGCTGTTTTTAAATGGAGAGAGAAATCACTTTTTTGTTAGGAAAATACCTGCCTGTTATAGAAGAAATCAATTCGGAAGGAGTGTGTATATATTGAGAAAATCCTGTTTTACATCATACCATAATCAGATTTAGATATATTTTATAAAAGGAAGAATCTTTTGCCCTAACCTCACATTCTTTTTAATCATTAATAATAACCACCGATTTCTGTTGTTCGGTGACCTATAGTGGAATTCGATGGAGAATATTTTCTCTCTCTCTTTACACTAGACCCCTAGACCCCCTTTTTATGCGAAAAAATGAATATGTATTGAAAAAAATGCCAAAAATAAACTACTAGATCATTTAGACAATTTGATAGCGATTTTCTAAGGATATATATTATATACACCGATTTCTGTTGTTCGGTGACCTATAGTGAAATTTTGTGTAAAATATTTTTCTCCTTGATGCCAATCCTCAAACTGTACTTCTTATGTGAAAAATTGCCCTTGGTTGAAGCCGACCAAAAAAACATAAATAAATTTCTTAATCATTTAGATAATTTGGAAGCGATTTTCTAGGGACATATTATATATACCGATTTCTGTTATTCGGTGACCTATAGTGAAATTTTGTGTAGAATAATTTCTCCCTTTACATTAACTCTCCATCAGGACTTGTTGTGCTAAAAAATGGCCTTGGTTGAAGACGTTTTTTTTTTTTTGTTTTTTGACAGCTAACTTGAGAGACAGCTGATATCCAGCTTGTAATAAATCAACAAATTTTCCTGGCATTTTCAAATCAAAACCTATTTTCAACGAACTGACGACCTATGAACTTCCAATCTTGTTTCCTTGAGTATTCTAGCATTTATTTTTTACATTAAAATTTATTCTCAACCAAGATCTTTTAATAAGATCACCCAGCTAGCGAAAGTCAGCTGTTTTTTCTGAAGTCTAATGTCAAAAATTTGGACCTTTTTACGCTTTTATGATGTATGTCCTGGATGGCCATATTTATAGACCTTGTAATAAATCAACAAATCAAGGTCTATATATGGTCATCCAGGGAGACCAGCTAGAAATCAGCTGTTTCTCAATTTGGCTGTCAAAATCCATTATTGTGAATTGATTTTCATTATGAAAACGTAAACAAAGGCCAAATTTTTGACATTAGACTTGAGAAAAAAAACAGCTGACTTTTGCCAGCTGGTCGACCAAGATATATTAATAAGGTCACCCAGCTAGCGACAGCCAGTTGTTTTTTCCCAAGTCTAATGCCAAAAAATGTTAACTTTGCTTACATTTTCATAATGGACGTCCATTCACAATAATGGGTTTTGACAGCAAACTTCAGAGGCATCGGTTATTCAGCTGGTCTCCCTGAGTGACCTTATTTATGTGGGCCTTGTGGGCGACTTAATTAATAGATCTTGGGGTCTTGTAAGACATTTTCCTGACATTTTCAAATCAAAAAGCCTTTTATCAACGGACTGACGATCTATGAATTTGCAATTTTAAACCTTGTTTTCTTCACTTTCCTCTATTTTTTTAATCAAAATCTATTTAATTTTTTTTCTACTTTTCTTTGTCATTCCCCTCCCTCCAATGTTGAATATCTTTTTAGCATACCAAAATCACAGTTCGGTTAAAAGATCCTTCGATGTTAATGATGACGCTGTTTATGGCCCTTATCCAGCATAACAATTTCTTCACCACTATCATCCGGATCAATGCCAATGCCGGGGTGTAAATCATCATCCTCTTCGTCATCATCGGAATTTACAATACGTTTCAGATCATCATCGTCATCATCGAAATAGGGTTTAATTGTCATACCCTCTGCAAAAAAAGAAATAAAAAGAAAACAAAATTAGATTACCAAGGTCGGGAACTCTTCCAAAATTCTCTTACTCTTAATAGGTGATCTAAACAGCTCCGTTTCCCCATCATCACCATCATCTTCGAATAGCTCTTTACCTTTTTGTGGCAGTAGTGAGAAATTATAATAAGGCTTATCCGTGCGTCTTCGTCGTGCCAACAGACACTGGGCACACAAAATGCACATAACCACTCCCGTAATAATGGCCAAGCTGGCGAGCAGGATAAAAACAAATCTTGGCATACCCATAACATCTTCATTACGTTGCAAACGGAAGACAACATTTTTAACTTCCTTATTGGCCGAAAGGACATTTACCAAGCGAACCGTTTCCAAATATCGTGGCGCTTCCACTTTCAAGGTAATCTCTCCAAGTGGGACATTTTTCAAAATATAACTTCCCATACTGTCGGTGAAATTTCTTACAAAATATTTTATGATCGGTTTTATCACCGCAACCTTGGCATGTTTAATGGGATGATTGGACATGTCCAAAACAAAACCGGATATCATTGTGGTGCCGACATCATCGCCCAACCTACCCAAAGGTTGGATTTCACTATGACCCACGATTAGGGTATAGGGATTTAATTTTATTATTCCCAAATTAGTGATTTTGCCATGTTTCACCTCAGCCTTTACCACCTGCGATTCATAGTTCGGAGCGCTCACTTCGAGGGCATATAAACCTTCGGGTAATATCAATTGGAAATGTGCTGCATTACGGCTAACATTATAAACCGGTTGATGTTCGATTACCCGAATAAATGCCTCCCTTAGGGGTTGGTCTTCACGATTGTGTACAAAACCCGCCGCTCCCGTGTCCACTAAATGCAGGAAATTCTTAAGTTTTTCGATGTTTTTACGCCACACCGAGGTAATATCTTTTTGCTGAGGCATGCTGCAACACGACAAGCCCAATGTAAACATGGGTATATTATACATTTTATAGAATAAATTCGTCAGACGTTCGGTAATGTCATGGCGCAGGGTATGCGTTGATGTGGAGGGACATTGTAGGGGAGAATAGCTGAATTCGGTATTTTCAATGTTATGGGCAAATTTCTCATAGATTTGTTCTCCTTTGGGGTAGCTAAAATAAAAAATATTATTGAGGTTAGGTTATGCAATTTTTGAGGTTATGTGTGGTAAAAAGAAAACTTACTACAATTCCGAAGAGCCAGTACTAAAGGTAAGCATTAAATCAAATCGTTGATTTTCCAAAAAGGACAATAGCAAATCTCTTCGCTTTTCCGACTCTGGACTTAAAATGCGTTCTCCCAGGTCATTGCCAACGACAGGATCACAAATGGAATTGCTGGAATATAAAAGAAGATAGGAAATTAATAGGAGATAGAAAAACGGCTTTTGAAATTAAAAAAAAAAACTACCTCAGGCCTTCATAAAGGCCAATTGGGCTGGTTAAAAACCAAGGTCATTATAAAGACCAATTGGGTTGTATAGAAACCCAAGGTCATTATAAAGGCCAATTGGTCTGTATAGAGACCGAAGGTCTATATAAAGGCCAATTAGGCTGTGATTTATTTCATATGAAAGGTTCTCATTAGCTGATGATGATTTTTCTGTAGGAAAAGTTGTCATCAGCTGATGATGACGTTTTTATAGGACAAGTTGTCATCAGCTGATGATGACGTTTCTATAGGAAAAATTGTCATCAGCTGATGATGACGTTTCTATAGGAAAAGTTGTTATCAGCTGATGATGACGTTTCTATAGGAAAAGTTGTTATCAGCTGATGATGGCGTTTCTATAGGAAAAGTTGTCCATCAGCTGATGATGATTTTTCGATAGGAATTAAGATCTATTAATAAGGTCACCCAGCTAGCGAAAGTCAGATATTTTTTCTCAAGTCTAATGTCAAAAATTTTGCCTTTGTTTATGTTTTGGAAGTCAATTCACAATAGTATTTTTACAGCAAACTTGAGGGGCAGCTGATATCCAGCTGGTCTCACTGGACGACCTTACTTATAGGCCTTGATAGGAATATTAGTGACCAACTGATGATGACATTTCTATAGAAATATTAGCGATCAGGTGATGATGATTTTTCTGCGGGAAAAGTTGTCATCTGCTGATATTAGATCCCTATCAGCTGATCACAAATTCAGATATTAAAATGTCATTATCAGCTGATTCATTTTTTTTCTCAGATTTTTTATTAAGAAATTAATCCCAACTTACTTATTATTATATAGCTTAAAGACCGCATCAAAATTCTCCGTTATCGGCAGGAAATATAAGACACTAGTCTGCAGCAATTTCAAAATTAAGGGTTCACGTAATTTATAACCCTCGATGACATGGCGCACCAAATTCATGGATATTTCACGACCCAAAGGTGAGGCAGAATCAAAAAAGGAACTCAAAATTAAAATTTTGTATTTACTTTCCTCGGGGGCACCAATCTGCAAAGGTGGGAAAATATATTTAAATCTTTCAAACAATTCCCAAAGGAAAAAAAATCGACTTACATCAGCTGTCAACTTAATGGAATTATAATAGAAACCAAATTCCGATTCAGCATAACCAAAGGTGGCAATTTGTCCATTACGGGCCTCAAATTCCGCCAAGGTGGCTCTCAGTTCGGCATTGGAATGATAACGGGTGTGCACAACATTTTCAATAATCCGATAATCATTGGCCGAGGCCCAGTGCTGGGGATCATCACGCATCAGAGTTATGTCCAAATGGATTTTACCCTTGACCGGTACCTCGATCAATTCACGCTGGGGAGAGAATCTGAAAAGTAGAGGGAAAGAGGGGAAGTTATTTTATAATTTAAAAATCTCATTTTCCAAGAACATACCCATCCGCCAGCACGGTAACGTTATGCACCCCCGGCAGTGCCAATTTGTAATAGTCCCCATAGACCCCACTATAGGTGGCATGTTTGGCATCATCCAACATTACGGCAGCCCCCGGAACCGGCGAACCAATAGAACTCCTTATCGATCCTTGTATACCATTGTGTATCTGCTCAATGAACAGCAGCAAAGGTTCACGATTATCTGCCCAAAATTTGGGTAACTCTTCGGCCATGGGAAATTTATCACAACCCAATTCCAATGTCAATTCCATAACTCCAGCCTTAATGTAATTCCAATCTTGCATACCACCGGTCACACTATACCACTGAGCACCATTCGTAATGCCACCGGGGAAATGTTCATTTTTGAAGAGGGGACAGGGATTACCCAAATGCATTGTGGGATGGGCATCAGCATATAGCTTAGCCAAATGTTGAACAAGGCATTATCCTCAGTGGGATTCAATTTATGAGCACCATTGGCCATACGCAACCTCGTCATGGGATCATTGAAATCATTTTCATTATCATCAAAGGGATAATTGGCCACCAAAGAGCCACCATGTAAATTGGCCGACAGTACAAAAGGTATGGACAAAGTCCAGTTCATTACGGCAGCCACTTCCGGTTCGGTGATCTTGTTATATTTATCTGTACCATATTGATCGGGGAAATTACGATTTAAATCCACATTATGTGCATTAGCCCTCCCCAAGGCACTTGATTTGTCACCCTCTTTGGAAATTTCATAACCATCGGGATTCATGGAATAGAGGAAATGCATACGGGTGGTGTTCACCATTTTGGTTATGCGTTTATCGAAATTGTAGCGTTCACAGATGTACTTAGTGAGCAGCAGCAACATTTCCTTGCCCACCACTTCATTGCCATGCATATTGGCAACATATTTGAATTCCGGCACTCCGGGGACATGTTCGCCAGGGGTGGCGAAAATTTCCATTACCCATAGGTCACGATTTTGGACGGATTTTCCAATGGAGTAGAGTCTTGTTATGGACGGATAAGAATCGGCTATATCACGAAGGAATCTGGGGGGATAAAAAAGAAATGGGAAATAAATTAAAAATAATATTAATAAAATAAAAATAATAATCAGCTGTTGAATGGTAAACAATTTTAAACAGCTGATGTTACTTTTCAATAAATTTCAAGATTTATGAATAAAGTCAAGATCTATTAATCAGGTCACCCAGCTAGCGAAAGTCAGCTGTTTTTTCTCAAGTCGAATATCAAAAATTTGGACTTTGTTTACGTTTTTATAATGGAAGTCAATTCACAATAATGGATTTTTACAGCAAACTTGAGCTGATGTCCAGCTGGTCTGCTTTATTAATAGACCTTGGTCCAGATCTATTAATAACGTCACCCAACTCGCGTGAGTCAGCTGTTTTTTCTAATGTCAAACATTTGAGTTTGGTTTACGTTTTTTATATTAGGCAACTGATATCTAGCTGGTCTCCCTGGATGATCTTATGCATAGGCTTTAAAGGTCTATTAATAAGGTCATCCATAGAGAGCTGCTGGATATCAGCTGACTCTCATGTTTGCTGTCAAAATCCATTATTGTGAATTGACTTCCATTATGAAAATGTAAACAAATTTCAAAATTTAATTTAATCAAATAAACAATATTATGTCCAATTATAAGACTTTTAGAAAATAATTACTGAAAAAAAATACCAGAAATATAAAATTATAGATACGTTTATATTTATCCCTATAACTCAGATATTTATGCAGATATTCTTATAAACCTTTAAGTCATTTCCGTTACTTTGTAATGATACATACATTACTTCAGAAAATATAGCCTATAGAATGTTATTACGGAAGAAATTCTAAAAGTTGCCAAATCTATGTACTTGATTAATTTTTCCTATAACTCCATTGTTTGATTAAATATAACAACAGATCTTCGCATTATCTTTAAGAGAGGACCTCCTTCTATATAAATCCACTTATTTTATAAGGATATACCCATTACTTTAGAAAATGTGACCTTCGAAAAATGATTACGAAAAATTTTCTAAAAATGGAAAATTTCGTGTACTTGTTAACTTTTTCCGATATCTAGGATATTTTGGTAAGCTGTACATATAAAACATATCTCTAATGTTAAGACTGGATGTTCTTCATTATAAATTCACTTATTTTGAAGAAATATATCCATTATTTTAGAAAAGATGGCCTCCAGAAAATGATTACCAAATTTTTCTAGAAATGGACAATTTGAAGTACTTGTTAAGTTTTCCCGATATCTAGGATATTTTAGTTAGCTGTATATATAAAACCGGTCTATAATGACAAGACTGGATGTTCCTCATTATAAATTCATTTACTTTGAAGAAATATATCCATTATTTTAGAAAATATGGACCTCGGAAAATGATTACGCAAAATTTTCTAAAAATGGGAAATTTCAAGTACATGTTTACTTTTTCCGATATCTCGAATATTTGGTAAGCTGTACATATAAAACTTGCCCATAATGTCAAGATTGGATATTCTTCTTTATAAATACTCTTATTTTGATGGAATATATCCATTATTTTAGAAACTATGGCCTTCGGAAAATGATTACGCAAATTTTTCTAGAAATGGACAATTTGAAGTACTTGTTAAGTTGTTCCGATATCTCGGATGTTTTGGTAAGCGGTACATATAAAACGTATCTATAATGTCAAGATTAGATTCTCTTCTTCATAAATCCACTTTCTTTGAATGGATATGCCCATTATTTTAGAAAATAGGGGCTTTGGAAAATGATTACCGAAAATTTTCTAAAAATTGCAAATTTCATGTACATGTCTACTTTTTACTATATCTCAGATATTTGGTCTGAAACAATATTAAAATTGTATGATATTTTGAATATGGGATGTTCTTCTTTAAAAATCTATTTAATTTGTAATGATCTACCCATTATAATAGAAAATATATCTCCTAGAATATGATTACTAAAAATATTCTACAAATTTCCATACATAAGGTAATGTTCTCTTTTCCCACGATATCAATTATTTGGTTAGCTATGCTAATAAAACTTGTTATTAGCTTAAAGATTAGATGTTTCTCTTCCAAAATCAATTTATTTCGTTAAGATTGGCAGAGTAATTCCGAAATTATGGCCTCCAGAAAATGATTACAAAAAAACTGAAAATTATTACTCAACATTTTATCATGATTAAATTGGATTCATCTTGGATATTTGCTCAGCTATGGTTAACAAAACTTCAAAATTAAATTCCCGATAACTCAATTATTTTTTACCGTATTGGCTCTCCCACCCACCGAGTTGATGTGTGACCTGTTACCTTTATGCAATGCAAGTACTACCTCATGTAAACACAACTCTGTGTATGTTAATATCATGTTTACACTATTATATTTTAATGGTTGGCATTTCTTAAGTGGCCTGGCCACACATTAGGATGTTTTTTTTTAATGTCTTTAATAAAAAAAAATAACAAAAATAATATACAAACTTTTCCATGGCAGTAAAATTGTGATGTTCAAATTTGGTTGGCATTAAGAAGCCACCATTTTTCTCTATATTTTCAGCATTGTCGGCGCGTATTACTTTCAATTTGCGGAAATCACCTGAAATGATGCAAAGAAAAAAAAAGAAGAAAACATAAAATAAAATATGATGATGAGTAGGAGGAAATGAGTTAGAAATAAAAACCAACAGCTGATTAAATCTTGAGCCTTCAAATTCCAATAATAGTTTTAGTCTTTTTTTAAACCCCTTAACTATATTCGATATTTATGTAAAATATGTATGAAACTCTAGTGCAAATGCGGTGCATGAAATGAGAATGGATGCATAATAAAATTAAAAAAAATTAAATAAATTAAGAAGTTCTCCTTTTCATTCAGTCCATAAAACACACACACAGGCATTCTTTTTTTGCAGATTTATTATTTTTTTTTTTTTGCTAAATAAATTTTATTTATTAGCTTTATTAATATTTATATAATTTATTATGTTTTATTTTTATATATATTAGTATACATTTACATCAATCGGATTTTTTTAGAGAATAAAAGATTAAAATTATATATACGTTTACATGTGGGCATTTATATATATTTTTTTGTAAATAGGTATATGTGATATATTTGTTTGTGTGTTAGACTACAATTCCATAAAATAGTTTGAGATAAAAATTTATTATTATTTTTGTTATAAATGATATTATATAAAAATATTTTTTATTGGTTTTAATAACAAGGTTTAAAATCTATATGTTTTTTATTTAAATAAAAAATTAAATATTTCTTAATAAAAAAATAAATAAAAATAGAACACAAATTAAACTACAAATGTCTCTCTTAATAGAAACAATTTATTTTATTAAAATACCTCGAAAACTTCGAAAGTTATGGCCTCAAAAAAAAAACAATGAATACCAGAAATAAGGAAGATAATACAAAATTTGAGTTACTTTAAATGTGGTTCCATAATTTTTATATTTAATGAGATGTATTAAAGAAATTGATAAACAAAAATAATAGATGAGATATCACCCTTTCAAAATCACTTTATTTTTTTAAAAAATCTCGAATACTTTAAAAGTTATGGCCTCAAGAAAATAGCAGAGAGAAGAACTAAAATTGCAAAATTTTGAGTTACTCTGTATTTTCTTCAATAATTTTGTTATTTGATGAGATATATTAATGAAATTTATTACAGGGTTATAGATGAGATATCGCCCTTTTTAAAATCAATTTATTTTATTAAAATATCTCGAATACCTTAAAAGTTATGGCCCCTAAAAATGTTATACTAGAAAAAAGGACTAATTGCAAAATTTTGAGTTACTGTTAATTTTGTTAAATAATTTTTATATTTAATGAGATATTTTAATGAAATGTAAAACTTGCTAATTTTATTCATATTTTATTAAAATATCTCGATGAAAAGTTATGGCCTCTAAAAAATGTAATGAAAAAAGGACTAATTGCAAAATTTTGAGTTACTGTATATTTTGTTGAATAATTTTGATATTTGTTATAGTATATTAATAAAATGTTATACAAATTTATAGATGCCTTACTTTCAAAATCAATTGATTTTATTATAATATCTCCAATACTTCAAAAGTTATGGCCTCTAGAATATAATACCCGAAAAAAATACAAAAATTACAAAATTTGAGTAACTCTAAATTTTGTTGAATAATTTTTATATTTAATGAGATATTTTAATGAAATGTAATATAAGTTAATAAATTAGATGTTCCTATTTAAAAAACAATTTATTTTGTTAAAATATCTCGAATACTTTAAAAGTTATGGCCACTAAAAATGTATACCAGAAATAACGACAAAAATTGCACAATTTGAGTTATTGTATATTTTGTTCCATTATTTTTATATTTATTGGGATATTTTAATCAAATTGATTTCAAATTAATAGATGGGATGTCGCTCTTTCAAAAACAAATTTAAGTTTTTAAAATATCTCCAATACTTCAAAAGATATGGCCACTAGAAAAATAATACCAGAAAAAAGACAAAAAATGCCAAATTTGAGTTACTGCATATTTTGTACAATAATTTTCAAATTTAATGAGATATATTAATAAAATTGATTACAAGATAATAGATGGCATGTTAATCTTCAAAAATCAATTCGTTTTATTAAAATATTTCGAATACTTCAAAAGTTATGGCCTCTAGAGAAGTGATACCAGAAATTAAGAAAAAGTTTTAAATTTTGGGTTACTTTCAATTGTGTTCTATAGTTTTGACATTTGATGATATATATTAAAGAGATTGAATACAAATCAATGGATAAGATTTCCGCCTTTCAAAATCATTTCAATTTATTGAAATACTCCCATTGGTTCAAAAGTTATGGCCCTTAGAAAATGATGTCGAACGAAATGACGATACTTGGAAAATACATGCTAACAAATATTTTTAGCTATAACTCGTTTATTTGATCAGATACATCAATAGAAATCACTTTATTTTAAAGTTTATAAGTCATTTTCTAATATTTATTTTTATAGCATTAAAATCTTACAATTATTTCAAAAGTTATCTGGCCTGGAAAGTGATTACCCAAAAAACGACCAAAATGGTAAATTTTTGGGTTATTTCAAATTTTGCACTACAACTCCAGTATTTGCTAAGATATTTTAATATAACTTGTCAATATTCTAGATTATATACTCCTCTTTTGGAAACTATTTAGTTCACTAAAATACCTCAACTACTTTCAAAGTTATGGGCCTCAAAAAGTGATTACAAAAAAAAAAAAAAATGCAAAAATAGGCAAATTTTCGGTTATTTTATATTTTTGGCGATATCTTGGGTATTTCATAAGATATATCGATATAATTCATATCCGTGTAAACCTTAGAAGTTTCTCTGTCAAAATTATAATATATTTTTTAATATATTTGGACAATTTTGGAAGTTATGGTCCCATTAATATAATTACCGAAAATTTTTCAGAAATTGGAAATTTTATGTTAATGATATTTGTTCACCATAACTAAGGAATTTCATTAGATACATCAATATAATTGTTATATAATTGAAAGCTCAGATGTTCCGCTTTCCAAATCACGTAATTTGAAGAAAATCTGTTGAATATTTAAAAAGTTATGGTGCCAAAACCATGACAACGCAAAAAATTCCAAAAAACAGAAAATTTTAGGTTATGTATAATTTTTTACCATAACTCTGTTAGTTTTTTAGATAAGGTAATATAATTTGACATAATTATTGACCCTATGTTCCTCTTTAAAAGTCATGCCATTTCATTAAAATCCATTTGATATTTCAAAAGTTATGACCCTCTGAAGAGCGTTACCGAAAAACTGATTTTAAATTGAAAATTTGGGGAATTCGTTATTTTTGCATATATTTTAAATTTTTATTGAATGACCTAGAGGATTTTTATGTGATTATACAATTTTACATATCCATCGTTGAAAAGAAATCGATTTGAGGAAAATCTGTTGAATATTAAAAAAGTTATGAACTCAAGAACATGATTGCGCAAAAAATGCCGGAAATTGGAATTTTTAGGTTATGTTTTATTTTTTATCATAACTCGGATATTTGTTTAGATATATTAATAAAAATGTACAGATTTATTGCTAAGATGTTCCTTTTTCAATTCTTTGGTATTTTATTGAAATCCATTGACTATTTCAAAAGTTATGGCCACCTGAATATGGTTGCTGAAAAAATTTCGAAATTGGAAAACTTCTAGTACTTGCCTATTTTTGGAGATATCTTTAATATTTGTAAGGCTACATTTTTGAATACTTACATCATTGTAATCGTTATATATTACGCTTTAGAAATTATGTTAATTCTTTATTGTGTACCGATTACTTTAGAAGTTATGGGCCCTAGAAAATTGTGACGCAAAATTTTTCAAAAATTGAGAATTATGGGGAATTTTGTTTTTATTGAATATTTTTGAAATTTTTTAGTCTAGGTTGGAAAATAGTGATATTTTTTTTTTTAAACTAGGCTACCATCTTTCCAATTCCGTTTAGTTCATTAAAATATATCACCTCTTTCAAAAGATATGGCCTCTAGAGGGTCTGGACGAAAAAAAATCGGGAAATTAAACAACTTTTGTAATGTTTTCCAATATCTCTGATATTTTATAAGCAATAATACTTGATTTTTTATCAGTTTATAAAATCGAATATCTGTAACAAAGTCCGCTTAACAAAACATATAACATTTTCCCTAATATTCCAAAATATGTTCAGAAAAATATTACACCATGTGAAACATATTATCTGTTAAAGACCATACTTGGCACATGTATGAATGTTCATAGCATCACCATGTTAAAATAAATTAAATTGCATATTTTTCTATGCAATATTTTAATCAATGTGCAACAGCTGTTATAATTGACAACAATTGCAAATTATTTGGCCACACGCATACACTAACACATTCAGAGCTGCATTTCCATTATCATCATCAGCAGCCATCATTAACAGCAGCAGAAGTGATTTGCGCTAAAATTATACGCCACATCGTCGTTGTCGTAGTCGTTCTCCTCCTTCATGGTGTGTGATTGACATTTGCAGTTTTATGCCAGAAGCCGCCAGACGGCACACAGCCAGCCACCAACCAACCAGTATCAACGATTTAGTTCCACAAACAGAAGAATTGACTAATTCACAAGGCATTGGAATTAAACCAGATTTGGAAACGAATTTATTTTTTTTTTCGCTTTCAAAATGTGAAGGCATCTGGTTTGCAATGTGAATTTATTTTTGTTGTTGTTGTTTTTGTACAAAAAATTGGGTCAACTTTCATGGGGATATTTAGAAGGGGAATTTGTGTACTTGTGTAGGTAGACTTTTATTTTGGAGACAATAACTTAGACTTATTTCGAATCCGAAAATTTGAATAAGGTGATAATGGCTTGGCCAGATCTGTTTCTTGGATATAGGAAGTACATTATTTCCATACATGAAATATACAGACATAGTGTGAATGGTGTATAACCACGTTTTACACTGTTGCATTTGTCATGTAACAACGGACTAGTAAAGTTACAGGGCCACATATAGAGCGGCATTGCCATTTTTTTAATATATGAAGAC